CTGATGATCCATTTAGGAGAGTAGATGTTTTAGATTCGACTTGTGTTAAGAAAGGCAGAGGTAGACCTAGGAAGACTTGGGCTTATTGTATTAAAAATGATCTTAATTTACTAGAACTAAATGAAAATATGACACTAAATAGGACGCAATGGAGAAAAATGATTCATGTAGCCGACCCCACGTAGTGGGATTAAGGCTTTGTTGTTGTTGTTGTTGTTGTTAACTATTCATCTTAAAATCTAAAAGTAATAATTAATGTTGAGTACTTAAATTTTCACTTATATTGAGCTTACAATCTTTACAATCTCGATGATCTCTATTTATTATAAGAAAATAATTAATTTGTGTTTTATTAAATTTATTCTTATAAGTAATAATATATTCATATCTTTTCTTAAATAAAGTATTAGTAATAATAAAATCATAAGCTAAAGCAAAATCCAATATGATTATATATTCTTCATTAATCACAATCTTAATATCAACAACAATCCTTAGGGCTACAATTCTATCTCCAATATTTTTAATTTTTACAACATTATCTCCCAGACTCTTATTTATATTTACAACTATACCATTTCTAGTACCACTCCTACATGAATACTAAAGTTTAGAACCTAAGCTATTAATTTCCTTGGCCTTTTCTCCAACTCATTTGATTTCTTGAATGCATAAGATATTTATCTTTCTATGAGCCATAATATCTGCCATAATATCTACTAATTCTCTACTAATTCTATTAATTTACTCGTAAGGGTACCTATATTCTAAAATCTTATTATAATATTAGTTTAATGTACTAACTTCTTTGTCGCATTCGTCCATACTATGGGAACCCTTGCTAATTTAACATTACACCATGTGTCAATGTAGTGACCCTTGCACACTTTTCACTGTATTTAGGTCATACAACGTGTCATTTCTAGGAGATGTCTTAGTATTTACACAATGATTTAAATGTATAATGTCGTGATTTTGTGACCAAAATTTTAGGCTTATTGTCAACCATCTAATACAACCCTTCACTTTTTTGCATCCAATGCTTGGGACCCGATAATGACAAGTGTTCATCTAACATCTCTCATGAGTAAAAATAATTATTCAACTTCTTGTTCAAGTTTGACAGCACTAATGGTTGACTTACAAACTATATAGCACCAGCACTTCTAAAAATGTGTTTTACCTGTGTCAGACGAGTATCGAACATCGACACTTGTTCAACACGCCCGATACTGCAAAATATATGCTTGAATTTTTCTTTTGGGCCCAAATATGTCTAAGGTACGTTTCAACACTGCATCAAATATGATCTCAAAATGATATTTGGACAAACGAGACACAAGAGGTAGAAAATTATAAATATACGTTTAGCCCAAATTATACCACATAACCGAAGCCGCCACCTCATGTCAATGCTTCCTCAAATATTTGTCAAAATCGAGCATCGAAAGCGCATCTAGTATTCGTCGAAGTCGAGCATCAGGATTTGCCTGTCTGGTGAAACCCAAGGTCAAATGTCCATCTTACATTCGTCGAAGTTGAGTGTTGTAATTTTATTTTGTTCATCGAAGCTATACCTACACCTGCTAAAGTGGAAGCCATAAGCTTCTTTGTCTTCACCTAAGCAGGAGTTAAATATGTTCATTGAGGCCGATGCAAATACCCCAGCGAAGTTGCAACGGTTGCAATGAAGCTTCTATTCGTTGAAGCCAAGTGGAGTTAAAGTCGCTCTAGTATTGTAGGTGATAATTTATTTATATACTTTTTAATAAGTTTATATTTATAAATTAATATTATTCTAATTCTAAAAGTTAAATTTTAACTTATTTAACTAAATAAGGTTTAATCATAAGATATTTTAAAATTCAAAAGATAAGTTTATGAAATTCTTTTGAAATGTATTGTGTGAAATTTTGAAGATTAATTTTTATAAACATGATGTTTCATAATAGAAGTTAAATTTTATTCTTATATATTTTATTTTGTGATGTTTTTAATAAAGAATAATGAAAAAATATATTTTTTATATTACTAATTAATAAAATATTAAAATGTGTCCATAATATGTCGTGTCCTATTTTTTATTTTCAATTATATAGTGTTCTTATATCGTGTCATGTTGTGTCTATATCCCCGTGTATGTGTCTGTGTTTTATAGCTTGCAATCAGATTCAATTGCTAGAATACTAAAAGGCTAAGAGCTATAAAAATCGAAGCCATAACTTGTAAAAGCAACCGTAACTTTTTAAACAACAGTTACTTTTGCTGTAATTTTATAATTACTTCTTCAAACAACTGCAACTACCCCAAACAAACCCTTATATTGATCTAGTAATAACTTCTACAAAGGCAAAATTACATATTGCGCCACAAATATAAAATTAAGATGATTTATTACTACCAAAAAAATTCTATTGCAAGAGAATTATATAGCCAATAGCCTAAAAGGGACTCAGTCTAGCGAATGCATAAGTATAACATTGGATAACTCTTAAAAGAAGATAGAAATTTCAATCAAAATTTAAGCTCAATACAAACGATGATTAATTCTTCTCATCATCAACTATTTAACTTTTTCACATGTACACAAATGCAGCAGAAAGGGGAAGCTCACTTAGGCGCAAATATCCTACATTAGAATTGTAAAAAATATCATTATTACATCATCTAAATCATATTAAAGTAATTTTAATATATATTACATCATTCAATTCAACTCCACTGGTATCATGAAACTTGAACCTATCTCTCTGTTCATTGTCCAGTTTTCATAACCTTTCAGCTTAAATATCATGCTAAAAAGGAAAGTTTAACTTAATATAACAGCAATTTAAGTGATTTGCTAATATAAGCTGGTTTAATAAATAGTTAATCCAAATCATTATTCCAGTTTTGACAATAAACACTTCATAGAGATAAAAAGCCAACCTTGCCGCACCATGTCAAGAACACCGGATGAGCAAAGCCTGGAATGCAAACCATAAGTCATGAAACAGATAACAGCTTCTGTATGTCTTCCTGTAAGGAGCCAGATAAAGCCAGATTAAGAAAGTATATAATAGCTGCAGAGAGAAGCAGGAAATGTATTTTTTTCTGAAATGATAAATTTCTTGTAAAGAAGGCCTCTTTAAATACATATCTGCAATTCTTATGTATTTACATATTAAACAACTAAACTTTCATATTTACTTGTATAGCCCTCGAATCTTTAACATTACATGAAAAAATTGCTATTACTAGCATTTAAGAAGTGAAATATAATTTTTGCACAATGGTTTATGAGACAAAACTTATGAATATTATATAGCTATTAACTCAAGTGTGGCTGAGATGAGAATGCTCGGGTGGATGCGTGGATTTACACTTGCAGAGAAAATGCGAAACTAATATATTAGTGGAAGGGTTGGAGTAGCTTCAGTGGCAGATAAGATTAGAGAGAGTCGCCTTAGATGGGTTTTGGTCACATTAAGCCATTTGTTGACCCAATTACGAGAGTAGATGTTTTAGATTTAGCTTATGTTAAGAAAGTTAGAGGTAGACCTGAAAAGACTTTAGCATTTTGTATAAAATATGAGCTTGATTTACTGCAATTAAATGAAAATATAATACTCAATAGAACACAATGGAGAAAATGAATTCATGCTAGCCGACCTCACTTAGTGGGTGATAAAGGCTTGTTGTATATAAAAGCCCCGAGTCAAAGTTTAAAGTACAATAAAACATCAAAAACGTGATACAATTAGAATATTCCAAGCATAATTGGAGAAAACACAAATCAACACCCCAATCCGACCATCTGGACAACAGCTCGGTAAAACAACTCATCATATTATCTTATTAGCCGATGCCATTGATTCTGTTATATAGAAACACCAAATATTGCTCAACCAGTTTGTTATGTACTTTGACCAATTTGTTCGGCAAAATAACTCAACGGGTTAAGTCTGCAAATCTGACCGACTCCATCAACTAACCCTATAGCCTCGCAACGTTATTTTGTATGATGCATTACCCACAAATACATAGTAAAATTGTTATGATTCATTTTTCTTTTTCGGTGTAGCAACTTGTGTATCCACCCCATAATAAAATAGACCCAAACTTATAAATAAGAGAGGCCATCCGCGGGGTATCTTTTTTTTCTTTCTCTCAGTCCCTGGAGATGGAGTAGAGGATTTTCTTCTACTCCTCTCTTTTAACAAACTTTATCTGGGCAGCATGAGACCACTGATAGTTTATGATGCAACTAATACAAATATCAATCTTTAGGTGATGGATATGCAAATTTTCGTATCCTACGGGGTTGAAAAAGCAGAACCTCAATTTTCATGGGGGACGTCGTCGGCGCATATCGCCGCACAACCTTGCCTTGTTTATCAACAAGAAACTTGGTGAAGTTCCACTTGATGCCATTTCCAAAGAAGCCACCTTTGTTGGACTTCAGAAACTTGTACAGGGGTGCAGCATTCCGTCCATTGACTTCAATCTGGAAATGCAAAAGCAGCATGAAGATTTTGCAGGTATTATGCAAATGAAGAGACTTGTTAATTTATATGTAAAAATTAGAAAAAAAAAGAATGTTTTATCAATAAATTGTTATTTCAAGGCATTTAATTATCAATTTCGATTTTAATTATAATATTTCCTGTTTAAATTTAATGAAAGTTGTTGAATTAATTGATGGCATTGATTACTAAATTCTTAATTCCTTTATATAAAATAGTACTGCACATGTAGTAAACCCTAATGCAGATCCTAATAGCATGCACCTAATTTTTCATGAAAAGTTTCAGTTAAAAGTCTAAGATCACCTTATCAAAAATGGGGAACTCAGCTTTGAATTTAGTACAGGCAACCTCCTGAATTTCCTCATTGCTTCCAGGTTCTTGACTTAAAAATTGGTTGCAAGGAAATGCCAGAATCTCAAATCCTGTCCAAATGAATCCAAAGAAAGGGGCATTTACATCCATACCACCCAATTCCTATGTTTTTACATACCTAACACCTAAGTTTTGCTCTTTTTTACATTTATGCCACCCAAATCTTTCATATCACGCCAAAAGCAGTACTATTATAACTTTTAAAAGGAAAAATACACCTTCTTAGGCACAGATAAGGTGGCATATGTAAAAATTTAAAGTTTGGGTGTTATATGTGTAAATACATAAGAATTGAGCGGTATGTATGTAAATCTTCCGAAAAGAAATGGTGGCTGAAACCCTGATGAGTCTTTCCTCTTGGAAATATCTTCTTTACGAAAAAATATTACATCAGTACTATGCACGTAGAGTAACGTGCGTAGTCAATGAAATCACGCAACGACACCCCACGCGACAGGAAAAAAAAAAACGGTGCGGTAACACGGAGAATATTCCCCCCTTGTTATTCATGTGTTATTTATGTGTTATTCATGTGTTACTGATGTGTTATTTTGTTATTATAACACCAAGAATATTCTCAAGACACAATAACACATGAATAACACCAGAATAACACGGAGTAATATTCCCGACAGAGAAAAAACGGTGCGGTAATACGAGGGAATATTCCCCCCATGTTATCCATGTGTTATTGTGTGTTATTCATATGTTATTAATGTGTTATTGTATTATTATAACACCAGGAATATTCCCAGGACACAATAACACATGAATAACACGGGGAGGGGGGGATATTCTCCGTGTTACCGCTCCGTTTTTTTTTTTCTGTCGTGTGGGGTTTCGTAGCGTAATTTTATTGGCTACGCACATTACTCTACGTGCGTAGTACTGATGTAATATTTTTTCCTCCTTTACAGCTGAAATGGTGGAAAATCTGTAACAAAATAGAAAAGCTATTCACCTTTATCTCTGTGTTTCTCATACAGGATATTCATTTCGATGTAGTTTTGATGTGTCAGGGCACTGCAAAAGCCACAAACAAGGCAGAAATAAATAATAAATGAACCAAATAATCTATAATTAATACTAATTAACACAGATACTCTATAATTAATGCTTTAATTACTTGAATGTAATAATTAAGATCTAGCAATTTAAACAGAAAAATTTTGAGAATGCCAATGCATAAAAAGCTATTTTGTGGCATTTAAAAAGATTCATTTTTGGAAGATTTACAAACATACCACTCAATTCCTACGTATTTACATATCTAACACGTCAATTTTTACATACATGCCACATTATCTATGCTTGAAAAAGGTGTATTTTTTTACTTTAAAAAGTTAAAATGATGATATTTTTTGATGTAATGTGAAAGATGTAGGTGGTATTAATGTAAAAAAAAAAGTAAAATTTAAGTGTTAGATATGTAAATACATAGGAATTAGGTGATATGAATGTAAATGCCCCTTAATTTTTTTTTTGGTTCTCACAAAGGAGAAGACAGACCGAGACATTGATAGAAATGATGGACAAATATTCGTTCAAATACATTCAAAAGTTCATGGAGGATTCAGCAGCAATTAAGAAAATGGATCTAAAGTTAAAATCCAAATAGTTAGGATAAGACAAAGAATACTAATAATGAAATAATGTGCTAAACAAAACTAAATACCATTTGGAGGCAACGTTTACAATAAGAAGAACCTTTCCACTGTAAGTGCTCAGCCTTACATCAGCATCATTTATATCCTGCCATGAAAAACCACTTTGAGCAAGCAAATCAAATAAAGAAATAACAAGTAAAAACTAGCTAGAAGTTTTAAAGAAATGAAAAAGAAGAGGAGAAAATTAAGGGAAAAGAGGTAAAACGCAAATAATAAACTCAAAAATCAAAGCATCAAATGAAAACACACAAACACACACACACAAGAGCTGAAGAAGTGCATTGGAGTTTGGGAGATGAATTTAAGCATATAGTCGAATACTATTGATATAACATCAACAAATTTCAAACTTTGACATAAATGTCATGACGTGATATGAATTTCAAGATATTTTTTTTATGCAAGAAATGCTCAAGCTCAAATAAAAAATTATTCAGATTGATTTCAACAAATTTATAGTCAAACTGACCGACTCGATGAGATGAACTAAATGACACCAAAATTGGTAAATCAAAATTGATCATCCGATCGAGGGAATTTCTTTGGGTCGTCCGATGAAGTGATTCATATTCCTTCCTTATTTGTCGAGAGATTTCTCCAGTACTATATAAATAGAGCCTATGTCTTTTATGAAGAGGAGACTATGACCGGAACTTGGAGCAGGAACACAAGGAGGAGCTGAAGTCCAGTGTTCTACACCAAAGGCCAAGTGAAAGCTACCCACTCCTGCAATCGTGGAAATCGACCACCACTTGTCTCCTGTCGTTGACCACTGTGGGTCACCCCCTGCTCGTTGTTATAAAACAGTTTTTCGAATCATGACATACGCTGCAAAATCTCAGTGTACGTTGTGGGGTAAAAAAACACCAGACAAAGCAGCGTGTCGTCCTGAATATTGTGCAGTCACACACCCCGAAGACGGTGTAATTACACACCATGAAAATGGTGCAACGAAACACCGTGGAGATAATGTAACAACGCACCCCACATAGTGTAACGATATACTCCTAATACGAGATATTGAATAACGTCATATCAATGATCCAACGATAATTCCTTGCAATATCTACTTACGTCCACCATACTCAGAATACAGTGACTTTCTCTTGACATCAAAATTTCTCTCTTTGTAGCTTTCCACTACGACCTACGTGACAATCAAAAGCCCGCGTGGTATACAGCTCACGCAATTCTCAACTCTCAAATGCGATCTCTATGACATACAAACATTACTGTAACTCCCCACTACGACATATGCAGCCTACGTGGTTCATAGTTCACGTAGCTCTCAACTCCGACCTTTGCAGCCTACATACATTATTGCAACTCCCCATTATGGTCTGTGTGACGAACTACGACCTACGTGGCACATAGCTCATGTAGCTCTTAACTCTGATCTCTGTAGCTTACAGACGTTATTGTAACTCCTTATTATAGCCTATGAGATGAAGTACAACTTACATGACTCACAGCTCATGCAGCTCTCAATGCTGGTCTTTGCGACGAACGAATGTTACTGCATCTCACAACTACGGTCTATGTGAATAACTATGGCCTATGTGACTCACAGCTCGTGTAACTCTCAATTTCAGTCTCTGCAGCCTACGAGCGTTATTACAACTCATCACTACAACCCATATGACCAACTACGACCTATATAGCTCATAGTTTGTGCAGCTCTCAACTCTGACCTCTGTGGCCTACAAACGTTATTGCAACTCCCATTTACAACATATGTTATAAACTATGAACCATATGACTAATAGCTTATGTAGATCTTAATTTTGGCCTCTAAGGCCTACAGATGTTATTATAACTCACAATTACGATCAACATAATCATCTACGGCCTACGTGTCTCACAGCTCATGCAACTCTCAATTCTGCACTCTGCGGCCTACAAACATTATTACAGCCCACTATTACGCCCTACATGACTAACTATGATCTATGTGGCTCACGACTCGCATAGCTCTCAACTCCAACCTCTATGATCTACGAATGTTATCACAACTCATTATTACGACCTATATGACCAATCACGGCTTACGTGGCTCTCAATTATGACCTTTATGACCTTCGGACGTTATTACTTTTCACTATTACCACCTACCTGACCAACTACAATCTATGTGACTCACAACTCATACAACTCTCAAATCCGGCCTCTGAGACCTACGAATGTTATCGTAACTCGTCACTATGGTCTACATGACCAAGCACATGTTATGTGGCTCACAACTCTCACAGCTCCCTACAACTTTTGTGACCCATCACAACTCATGCAGCTTTCAATTTTAGTCTTTGCGACCTATCGACGTTATTACAGCTCACTATTAATGCCTACGTGACCAACAACGACCTATTTGACTCACAACTCACACAGTTTTTAATTTTGGCCTCTACAACTTACGAAAGTTATCGCAACTGTCATTATAGCCTACATGACAAATCACAACTTAAGTGACTCACAGCTCCTACAACTCCATATTATGACTTTTGTGGCTAATTGACGCTCCTGAAGCAATCACATACAACCCACATGATCAACTACTATCATGACTTTCAATTACGACCTCTATGACAAGTTGACACTACAACATAAACCTACAAAATTCATGGCAGGTTACTACATTTATAGCAACCAACTCAGAGTCTTTGCAGTCTGCTATCGCCGAGAGCTACATTTATTACTGCTATATTACGACTATTATTGATAAACTATTATTATAAATCAATATTGCAATTCCATTTTCTCTAATTCAAGAGAGTGAATTTATGTACTTATAAATTTTTAGAGGTTACTCCAATTGTGCTACATCTCGTGATTTTTTTCTTATTTTCAAATTTTCACGTAAAAATTTTGTTTTCTGCTCCCACTATTTTTCTTTAATATGTGTGTATGATGAATCTTGTACTGCAGCACCAAAACGCTAATTTGTTACTCTACTGTCATGGATAATGCGGCATTCATCAAGTATAACTTCAAATCAAACAGATATGAAAGAAATCCCTAGAAAGAAAGGCTATGGATATCATCCCTACAACAATTTCTTCAGGAAAAAAGGTCCAGATCTATTAAGAAGATGAAATTCATCAAAAAACCTAAGCTGATATGCCGACTGAAATAAGAAGCATGTAGACATGATGAATGATCGATTGCAAAGAAGATGTACCTTGACAGTTATATCAAGCAGAGATTCAGGCGTCTGTTGCACGTAATTTTGTAGAGATGAAGGCAGATTCTTGACGAAGAAGAGCAGAAGAGCAAAACCTAGAAAAAAGAGGGAGCAAGAGCTGCTCGAAAGGGAATACATTGCATTGTTAGGGAGACGCGGTAGCCAATCAATGCCGGTGGGACTCACATATCAAGTGGGCTCCATCTTTTAACACTGTTTGCTCGTCTATTACGGTCTTATGTCAACCAATTCTTATATATTTACATATCTAACACCTAAACTTTAATTTTTTACATTTGTACCACCTTACAAAATGTGTATTTCACTTTTTTTTTTTTTTTTTAAATTTTAAATGGTGGTATTTTTTATTTGGTACGAAAGATTTGAGCGGTATTAATGTAAAAAACATAAAGTTTAGGTATTGGATATGTAGAAACATTGGAATTGTGTGATATGTATGTAATCGCCCTTCATTTTAGGAAAATTTATATATATGCCTAAAAAAAAAATTTTTTTTTATGTACATACGCAACACCTAAAGTTTGATATTTACATTTCAAACATTTTTGTGTTATAAATCTATACATGAAAAGATATGTTTCTCTTAAAATTTTAGCGGTATGTTTGTAAATATGAGAGTTTTGGTGTTAGTTATGTAAATACATTAGAATTTCGGGGTCTATATGTTAATTCAAAAATAAAATTTTGATACAACTTTTTTTTTTAAAAAAAAATAATATGATTTTAGAAAATATTAAATGCATTTAATGATTAAAAAAACTTTTAAAAAAGCAAATATTATGAGAAAAACATTAAAAAAAATTTCTAATTTAATAATGGTATCATATTGTCATAAAAATAAATTTTAAATGAATATTATACAAAACATCACGCATTTAATAAAAAAATACTTTTTATAGCATAAAACCTGAGACATTGGTTAAAAAATTGAAGAAAAATATCCTTAAAAATAAGTTTTCTAATAAAGAGATTTTTTAAATTAAATCGTTAATTACATTTCTCCCATGTTTAAAAATAAAAAAATGCCCTAAAATATGCTAATTTTTGGACTACTGACGTAAATCTACGTTTCGCAAAGGTTATTCCTGAGTTATTTTCAGGTTATTTCTGGATTATTTTCAATAATCCCGAAATAACCCAGAAATAACCTACGATTTTTATTTTTGGGTTATTTCGGGATTATTGAAAATAACCCAGAAATAACCTGAAAATAACTCAGAAATAATTTGCACGGCTCGTAGAGCTACGTCAGGAGTCCGGACAAAAAATACGCTCCTAAAATATAAGACAAAGGAGTTCTTAGAAACAATTTAAATATTTTTTTTTCATGAAAATATTAGTTTAAATATTATTAAGATCAAGACATAAAGAATTTTCAAAATTAAAACATTAAAATGAAATTTTGATAACTGCGAAACATTAAATATTAAAAAACTTAAAAATCAACATTTTAATACATATTTAGCACTCCATAATAATTTGTTAGATTGAATTAGTAATTCATATATTCTGATAAAATATAATTAATTACACTAAATCCAATATTTTTTTTATTAAACTAAAGTTGACCGGGTCTAAAAGACGGCATTCCCCAACAACACAATACATAAGAATTGTGTGGTATATATGTAAATGCCCCCTACGAACTGTTGAATCATAATAATAAGACTAAAATTTTGTTTGTGGCAACTTATTTGGTGTGGTGACATTTTGAAAACGCACTTGGACTGTTTGGGTAAACTGAGTTTTAGCAGCTTATGCATTTTGAAAAGCGTTTTCATGTCGCACCTATCTAAGTGCGGTGACAGCTTTTTAGCAACAATCTGACTTCTCCAAAAAAATTAAACATTCTTATAGTCACCACATCTAACTTATCAGCAGATTATTCAATAAGTTGCAGCTCCCCCAAACAACCGATGGTATATATGTAAATGCAGAAAGTACTGTAACGCTTCATGCAACTCATCCCCAACAAATATTCACATCAACTCATCCCCAACAAATATTCACATCTTCAGTTCATAAATTCAGCTCCTTACAGACTGCACAAAGCACTGCAACGCTTCACGCACCTTCATTCCTCTGCTTTCCTTCACTTCTTCAGATGCTTCCTTCAAGCCCTGAAGACCGCGGCCCAAGGAAGCAATCATGGAGACCGAAGGAACCGATTCCGCGGCACATTCGATCCCGTCGCCATAATTCAGAAGCCCCGCACAAGCACCCATGCTGCAGGCAAAGCTCACCCATGGAGCATACCCAACCGGCCTTACCTTCCTCTTCCTCATTATTTCATATAACGAAGTCCTGATGGCGAAAAAACTGGTCCTTTCCGCTGCAGAAATCATGCTGTGTGTCACGGCTCTGATCTTCTCCGCCGAAGCAGCAAACTTGGTTGTTGTACTGATTCCAGGAGCCATTAGTTTCGATGGGAGGAGCATTTTACTGAGTCCCAAAAAAGCTTTTCTTTGGAGGTTTAGTAATCCAATCTTGAGGGAAGAGGAAGCATGAAAAGAAGCAGCTTTGATCAATGAGGAAATCGGCATTGCTTTCGAGAAAGAAGATATTCCGACCAGAGCGGTAGCTCCGGCGCCAAACGCGACTACGGGTTTGTCTGTCAAAATCTTCATTTTCTCATGGTTTTCGTGAAGAATTTCTTCGCCGTTGTCGAGATCGTTACAGTAATGCGTTACGCAGTGATTAGCCAAGTCGGCAACCTCCGGCGGCACGGATGTGCTCCAATGCTTCCTTAGACCGGCTAGGCTCGCGGCGTCCACAATGGCTACCACCGCTCCAAAATTTGCGGCTTGTTTCTTCAGTGCTTGGGCGAACAAAACATGGCATTTCTCTTCCGTGGTGAGATTGTAGAACTCTGCAAGTTTGGATTTTGGGGTGTCTGGTTCGTTCATTGGTCTTCGGGCGGCTTTGTTTAATGCGACTCTCAAGGCTTCGATGGCAATTCTGAAGTTCTGGACAACTGATAAGGTTTTTGTATCGACTGGTTCGCCTTCGTTTACATCAGCGAGCATTTTCTGCGCGGAAGATAGAGCTTTTCCAATGGCAGGAAGGTCTTTGAATATGTGATGCAGATCAACAAGTAAAGAGTAAACTGATTGAGCGAATGGAGGAACCTCATAGTTAGAACTGATAACACCTTCTTCGTCTTGTTGGTTGAGAAATAAACCAGAAACTAGCAAATCAAGAGAAGGAGTTAATGATTTCACCATGTCTGATTCAAGAGCATCAGAAACAAAAAGCATCTTAGAGCTCGAGCTCATCAATGGAGTTACCTTCCCAGGAAGCAGACTATTTGTTTGTGGATGTAATGCGGAGCTCTCATTAACAGACTCAGAGCCTGCGTTCTCATACGGAGATTCGAGCAAGAGGAAATGGGAATCAACAGCATCTGCAGCTCTCTTCGCAGACAAGAAATGTCCATAAAATCCAATCCCGAAAATTGCCTGCAAGACCTGACAGGCAGCAAAGCTATCATACTGCTCCTTCTTTATCTTCTCAAAAAGACATCTTTTTAGAACGCCAATGGAGGAAGTAGGAATGTGATTGATTTGGTTTTCGCTCGAGCATTTCCCCTCGATCTGGATTTCAGGGAGAGCTGATGGAGCGACGGAGACGACGACGGCGTTCGGCTTGACTTCCTTGATTAGATGATCGGCATCAATGGCGGACTGTTCCGATAGATTTTGAGCAGCCAGGATATAAACCACTGCGTGGGAATCGGAATCAGGGATAGCGAAGATGAATTGCTTTGTTTGTTCTGGAATTGCAAGTCGTTTGACTAATCTATTTGAAGTTTTTAGGTCGTCATTTTTCAACAGAGAAAACAGCCACGAGTTCTTCAGGTAAGAGAAAATAGCAGAAGCCATGACTGATGCATTAGTGACGACAGAATTTTGAACCGGAGAAATTATCTATATTCCTCCTTTAAAAGGTCTGCAGAGATTTTTGAGACATAACAATTGAATCAGTGAGAGTGTCTTGAAGAATCACAGTGATTGCTGCAACTTTAGCAATTAGTGATTAACAGATTTCTTATGTATTTACATAACTGACACCTAAACTTCAATTTTTATATACATACCACCTAATTTTTTTAACATTACCTATGCATGAAAAGAAGTATTTCACTTTTAAAAAAGTTAAATTGGTGGCGTTTTTGATGTGATATGAAAGATTTGGATTGTATAAATGTAAAAAATTAAAGTTTAGGTGTTTGAGATGTATATACATAAAGAATTGAGTGCTATGTAGGCGTTGAATTCTTTTAGGAAGTAGGGTCCCATATTATTTGTGAGTACACAGAACTCGGTAAAAACCTTATTTTTGGAAGGAAGGTGGAAGAACAGAACTCGGTAAAAACCTTATTTTTGGAAGGAAGGTGGAAGAACATGATGGATGTGAAATTTAAGAGAGCATCCCCAGTTTTGTTTGTTAATTTTTTACCTCCATTAAGCATAAAAAAATTGGCTCATAGGAGATTTCTTGGATTACAACGTTTCTTCTAGAGAGAGAGATAATCTCGAAAAAATCTAAAGTTTTTCTAGTCTCGAGACTCTCCGTTAGTCTCTTGACTTTCCTATTATACAAAAATAAGAAGAAAATAAAAAATACATTTCATACGACATTCGCTCATCCGTAGTGTCTTGGTGAAAAGATCTTGACATGGATGTCAGGCGGCACTTTTAAAAAGGACGAACTTGCTTCCTTGAAAATAATGATGGTCATCTCTGATAGCTATCCCTCTCTAGATGGGCTAGATCGCCCTCGCAGAAGAAATAAATCTAATTTCTTCGATAGATGCACTCACTTCAGCCACTTCAGCAGAGGAGCTCAATTCATCTACTTCGGCAGGTGCACCAAATTAAACATTTCGGCAGGTACGCTCAACTCAAGAAAATGGTCTGATTCCTCGATAAGGGCTGACAAGACTTGCAAGACTAGTTGGTTTTCATATCAGACTTTGCATAAACATGTTTTTTCCGTCATATAGCCGTATACAGCAAGTAGATGCTAATGCAAAAAATAATTGTAAGAAGAGTTTGTTCCAAGAGCAAAAGCAGCATGAGACTTATCTCCAGTTTTCAAGCAAAAGAAAAAAAATTTACTTATGTGAACTATTCTAAATTTAAAGATGGTGAACTCTTTTCATGGGCATAAGTTTTCTAAGACAAGAAGATCGCAACGGTCCACCAACTATTTGTCGGAAGCTATTTTAATTCCAGACTATATAAGTGGACTAAAATTTTTCTAAATTATTCAAACATGGACTAAAATAATCACGTCGTCCAAAATAGAGATTAAATACAACAATTGATATGACCTATTGTACAATTATGGTTGAAACATGTCCAACTCTTTCCACGGGAATCATTAAATATAAACATAAGTTTTCTATACCAGAAAAGACTCAAAATGGTTCATCGACTCTCTATGATAAGCAATTTTAATCTCATGCTACTTACACACAGACCAAAATGCAATCATTCAAAGTGGAAGTTGAATTTGATGGCTAAGTTAATAGGATTAGCGGAAAATTTACAAAGGAAGCATGGAGTTGATAAATTTTAGGAATTTCAAATTTTCTTTTTGTTACCTTACCCAATCGAGGTAAGAGGGTGGATGCCAGCATAGTTTAATAGGATTTAGCCAAGGATTTAACTTAAATCTAGCCAAACACCAACTACGGCCTTTACGGCCTACACACGTTATTATAACTCACCACTACGACCTACGTGGCTCACAACTTAAGGAGTTCTAAACTCCGATTTCTGCGGCCTACGAAAGTTATTGCAACTCTCGACTACGTTCTATGTAACGAACAATGACTTATGTAACTGAAAGCTCATGCAAGTCTAAATTCCGGCTCTACAGTAGCTCCCCACTATGACCTAAGTGGCTCACAGCTCATGCGGCTCTTAATTATGGCCTCTGAGGCCTATGGGCATTATTACAGCTCACAACTACAACCTACGTGACAACTACAACCTTCATGGCTTATATCTCATGCAACTCACAACTTCAGCATCTACGGCCTTTGAATGTTATCGCAACTCACAACTACGATATACATTACCAACCATGACTTACATGGGTCATAGCTCTTGCAACTCCCTAATATGGTCTCTGTGGCCACCCGATGCTCCTGAAGAATCTACCTACGGCCCACATGGCCAACTATTACTACGACTTTCAACTACGACCTTTACGACAAGCTGACGCTGCAACCACAGCCTACAACATTCATGATGGGCCCTTACAGCCTGCTATCGCCGAGAACTACATTTATTACAGCTAGATTACAACCATTATTGATGAACTACTATTACTATTGTACATCAATACTATAATTTCATCCTCTCTAATTCAAGAGAAGAAAGAGTCTATGTATTTACAACTTCTTAGTGGATTACTTTGATTGGGCAGACACCGTGATTTTCATTTTACTTTTCAATGTTTTCCATGTAAAAATTGTGGTGCCTCCTCAAGCTATTTTTCTTTTATTTGTGTGTGCGTTGGAACTCGTACTACGCTACCACACACTGAGATGCTAATTTATTAGTCCACCGTCGTGGATCTTCCGGAACACATCAACTATAACTTCAAATCAAACAGAACAAGAAGAAATCCCTAAAAAGAAAGGTAATGGATATCATCCTTAACAACTTCTGGAAACAGTTCCAGGTCTATTAAGGAGATGAGAGCCATCAGAAAACCTAAGCTGATATACCCAGTGAAATAAGCAAGATGAAATCCCTAAAAAGAAAAATAATAGATATCATTCTTACAACTTCAGGAAACAGGTCCAGAACTATTAAGAAGATGAGAGTCATCAAAAAACCTAAGCTGATATAGCCAGTGAAATAAGAGCAAATAGACATGATGAATGATCGATTGTAAAGAAGATGTACCTTGACAGTTGTATCAAAGAGAGATTCAGGCGTCTGTTGCACGTAATTTTGGCGAGATGAAGGCAGATTCTTGACGAAGCAGAGCAGCAGAGCAAAACCTAGGAAAAAGAGGAGCAAGAGCTGCTCCAGAGAGAAAACATTGCATTGTTAGGGAGAAGTGGTAGGCAATCAGCTTTTTAACTGAAAGCTGAGGATTTTGCTAAAGAGATGGAATTGGTTGAAAAGAAAACACCATTATCCAATGGAAATTTTCATTTTAGAAAGATTTACCAACATGCCACTCAAGTTTTATATATTTAAATATCTAACACCTAAACTTCAATTTTTACATATATACCTCCTTGCCTAAGAATGAAAATGTGTATTTCACTTCTTTTTTAAGTTGAAATGGTGGTTAATGTAAAAAAGTGAAGTTTAGATGTTGGATATGTAAAAACATCAGAATTGTGTGGTATGTGCATTAACACCCCTTCATTTTAGAGAAATTTATATACACGCCGCACAATTTTTTTTTTTTTTAATTTGCACACCCAACGCATAAAGTTTGATATTTACTCTTAAAACACTTGTGTAAAAAATGTATGCATGAAAAGATATATTTCTTTTAAGAAAATAATAATGTTGGCATTTTTAATGTGATGTTAAAAATTTTAGTGATTTGTAAATAAATATTAGAGTTTTGGCCTTAGATATGTAAATAGATAAGAATTAGCTGGTTTATCTGTTAAGGTCAATTGATTTTACATGCCCATTGTTTCTATTTCTTTGGAAATATATTTAAGAATCGTCTTTGATTGTACATACTTAACAACCTTATTTTTAATGCTAATGTAGGCAAATGCAGTGGGATTAATGCTAATATTTTATCCATGACCAAAATTTGTAGACTGTTTTTTTTCCTCAATAATAGTGAAGTTATTAACTAGTATATCGGTGTTCGTGATGATTGTAGTGTCGAGTGTGTTTGGTTTAATTAGTGAAACATCACTAAGTCATATTTTGTGTGGATTGTTGAGATTTGGAATAGACCAGAACAACTTTATTGGTAGGAGGAGGGGTATTTAAACCAAATTACAATAGACATAATAATGAAAAACAATAAAAACATAATAAAATAACTAACAAAGAAAACAAAGAAAATAAAACAAAATAGAATGAATGGGGAAATACATAATCAGGGAATAAAATCAAATAATAAATAATAATAATGTAAGGATAGCCGTTATAATCTAATACTCCCCCTCAAGTTGAAGCATAAATGTCAGTCATGTTCAACTTGGACTTTGAAATTATCGAACAAAGGGCGAGGTAGATTCTTGGTGAGGATGTCTGCTAATTGATCACTGGATGACACCCATGGAATGCAAATCTCCCCCGATTCAATATTTTCCTTAAATGAAGTGTCTATCAATCTCCACATGTTTAGTACGATTATGTTTGATCAGGTTGTGAGCAATGTTAATTGCGGCCTTATCATCACAGAATAGTTGCAGCGGGACAGAGGTTGGCATAAGGAGTTCGCGGAGCATGATGCGCAGCATGAGAGTTTCACAGATTCCTGAGGACATGGATTTGAATTCAATTTCAACACTGCTTCGAACAATCACAACAGTTTTTTGCTTTTCCACATGACAAGATTGCCCCATACAAATGAGCAATACCCCGAGGTGGAACGTCGATCATGAACTGATCTGACCCAATCAGCATTTGTATAAACAACAATAGACCGAGAGATGTGGCGGGAAAAAAACAAACCTGAGCCCGGTGTACCTTTTAAATAGTGGAGAATCCGATGGACAGCTTGGAGATGGTACTCATCAGGGTCATGCATGAATTGATTCATCATTCCAACTGCGTGGCATATGTCAGTGCGAATATGAGTCAAGTTGATGAGTTTTCTCACAAGCACTGGTAACGAGTTTTATTAATAGGTACAATATTGAGATTGTCAGATAATTTTTCATTAGGATTCATAAGAATAACTAGTTTGCATAGAAGAATGTTGTTATTTGAGCTGAGACAGGCAAATTCCCCGAGAGGACCTAGCCACTTCCATGCCTAAGAAGTACCGAAGAGATCCCAAATCCTTCATCTCGAAGGACGAAGCAAGAATGTCTTTTTAGGACTTCAATATTAGGAGATCGTTACCTGTAAGAACAATATCATCAACATAGACAATGAGGATAGCTATTTGGCCATTGGAAAAGTGCCGGAAAAAGAGGGTGTGCTCCGATTGAGCTTGAGTAAAAATATGGCACACGACCACCATTGTGAACTTATCAAACCAAGCCTTGGGGACTGCTTTAGCCCATAAAGGGACTTTCATAGCCTGCACGCTTGTCCTCTGGAGCCAGTAGAATTAAAACCCGGAAGGAGAGACATATACACCTCTTCTGTCAGCTCAACATTTGAAATTGAATTCTTGACATCAAGCTGGAATAAAGGTCAATCCATAATCACGACAAGTGACAACATGACCCGAATAGTGTTTAATTTAGCCGTTGGAGCAAATGTCACATCATAATCAACTCTGTAATTTTGTGAGTATCCTTTGGCGACCAATCATGCCTTATTACGTTCAAAAAACCTGTCAAAGTTGACATGGTGTTGAAAATTCATTAGCATCCTACAACTTTCTAACCCAAGAAAAGTACACGATGTCCCACGTAGGGTTCTGCTGACTCTTTTCCAGGTTGGATCGGCAATAATAACCTCAATAGTAGCAGGATCCGATGGTTCGTCGGGGTAGTAGCAAACTCTGTAGTTCGACGATAATATGAGCATGTCTGATTGAGTACACTACTCAGAGAACTCAACTCCTCATTCAGAGGAGGGGTAGTGCAGAGGATGTCGCGTCGCCCGAAGTGAAGTCAAGGTCTTGTAAGGAGGTAGCAGACTTTTGAGTAGAAGTATTGGGACAAGTGCACCGAGTGTAGACATGAACAGTGGGATGAGGAGATGGTACACTCAACGGGATCGGTGACTCCTCAGTAGTGGGAACAATGAGGGGGTCATCCATAGGAGAAGGATAAAAGATAGTGTTGAAGAACTCAAACTCCCCCTCACTAGAGGTCGAGCTAGAAAAATAGGGAACACTTTCAAAGAAGAAAACATCAGCACTGACATAAATTTTGTTTGTGGTCGGATCAATGAATTGCTACCCTTTTGATTTGCGGAGTATCCAAAGAATATATATTTTATGGATCTGAGATCAAGTTAATTTTGAGTAAGAGCAGTGCTACGAACAAAAGTTGCGCGTCTAAAAATCTTGGGATCTAAATTAGAAAAGATCTGATTGGCAGAGAAACATGACATTAGGACGGTTAATGAGGTTTAGAACTTATGAAATTTGGTGGGGACTATTTATGAGATAAGTGGAAGTTCGAATGATATCGTTTCAAAAATGTTTCAGGACGTTGGATTGAAACAAAATGGAGCAAGCAATGTCGAGGAGGTGATGGTTTTAAAGCTTGGCTGCCCCATTTATTGAGTGTCCGTGCAAGACCTATGATGAAAGATTCATTTACTTACCAAGAATTCACTCAAAATTGAGTTTTAAAACTCACGATCATTGTCAGTCCGAAGAAATTAAATAGGAGTTTTAAATTGAGTTTAGATGAAGATGTAGAAGTTTTGAAAGGTCAGAGTGACTTATGATTTATCTTTTAAAATGCAGACTCACGTCATTCGAGTGTGGTCATTACTTAAGTTCAAAAATCACGTGTATTGGTATAGCTGAACGTACGAGAATGTCCCCATATATCACTGTGAATAAGGGAGAAATGAACATAATGTGTAAGTATGAGGTGGGTTATGTACACGGTGATGTTTAGCTAGCCAGCATGTCTCACAATTGAAGCTAGAAATATTTTTATTAGAAAAGATCAGATGATACAAATTTTTCAAATATTGAAAGCTAGGATGACCTAAACGACATGTAGTAACATAATGAGGCATTTAATGACTTAGGATAGACTATAATTTTTTAGTGTCGTGTCTTCACTCTCCTTACTATTCTTAGAAGTACTAGAGTTCAACTACCCTCTTAGCAGTTCTGATCATCCTCCATGAACGACGATCTTGAAAAACAAAACCATCAGAAGAGAAATTAGTAAAGCAATCAATATCATTTGTCAACTTACTGACTGATAATAAGTTATATTGTAATCGGGGAACATATAAAACAGACTCCATAGTTGGATCGATCGTTAATACAATCGACCATTTACTAGCAACGGAGCTACAAGATCCATCGACAATTTTGACAATTTTTTTTTCCAAAGCACGGGTATTAAGTCGAGAATACTTGTGAGCAGTCAGTCATGTCATCCGTGATATTTGAATCAATAATCCATGAACTAGAGGAGAAAAAAATTATAAGTCAGAGACAGTACCTTATTAGACATAGGAGGTCGATGGACCTGCAGAGACTTGGTTGGCTTCAAGAAACTTGATCAATTGCTCTATCTGAGTTTTTTAGGGATTCAGAGAATTCTGAGATATTCCTGGTAAGAGTTGGTTTAGTCGTACTTGGTTTGACCGTTATAGTGAGTCCCTTGACATCAGATAATTTGACCAAGGGTTTGTATGTCATCTTACCCTAAAGTTTCCAATACTTATCTCGAGTATGGTTTGGCTTGTGACAGAAATCACAAATGGGGTGACCGGTTCGAAGTGTCATGGACAAGAGTTGGGCACTATTTGAGATCAAGACGGATTATTCCACTAAAGAAGTAGAAGCACCCAACATGACAAGTCTCATGTTTTCTTTCCGATGAATTTAGGTGAAAGCAGCACAAGCGAAAGGAATAGGATCCCGATCAAAAATACGTCCTCGAACTTCGTCAAGGTCATTGTTAAGGTCGACAAAGAATTGGAACATACAATTCTTTTCTACGATCTTCTGTAAGAGGAATAAGTTGGTCGGAGAATCCCAAGTGTAGTTGTAATACAGGTCGTTTTCTATCCATAATGCAATAAGATCATTATAGTATTGAGTCACGGTTCTTGACCCCTATTTTGCCTCCCGGATCCATTTAGAAACCTCATAGAGTTGACTAGAATTTTCTAAATCTGAGTGGTATTACAGATAACCATCCAGAGAACACTAATTGAAGCGA